GAAGCCCTCAGGAGCGGGGAATCACAACCTCTACCACACATAGTTGGCAGCAGCAGCGGTATTCCAAGTTGTTAAAGAAGCCAAGGATTAGATAAGATTTATAGCAACCTGATGTATGTAGGAGAGCTAAAAATGGTATCAGCAGATTCATTTCCAAAGCTTCGTACATACATGGACAGGATGTTGCTGTGTATACATTTCTCTACTCTGTATGGGCACACCACAGGGAAAAAATGGTTCTCTCATTATTGGAAGAGTTGCCCCTCTTTTTAATTTAGAGGTGTGTGACATCTATTTTGTATAGCCACATGCACGGCTCCAGATGGCTTAAGCTAAACTGTGTCTGGAAGGAGAGGAAAACCAGAGGCTCAGACCTTCTTGCTGATCTTACAATTGTAAGCACCACTCTTAGCTTTGTCCTGTAACCCATTCTGCTGCTTTTGAGGATCTGTTGATGTCTGAAAAACACTTTGCTTATAATATAACTTCAGCTGTTATAGGACTTCAATTTTGCAAACACCTATCAACCGTCTTCTCAGCACCTACTTTCATTTTCATTTAGTTCTGTATAGCTTGACTTCTTGTTACAACATTTGGAAAAAAAATAATTTTCCAAGTACTCTGTGTATATGTGTGCCTCTGAGCAAATGTAACTCTAGAGACTTTTATTGCTAATTTGTGCTTCATCCTCCAATACCATAAGTCTTTGATAACCTGTCCTGGTGCCAATGAAAGAGGTTTCTGGATAAATAGGTACATAAGAAGTCATTCTAAGGTTAAGTGTCTACTGGGCAGTGAAATGCAAGGAAAAATATTGCTTTATGAGATTGCACAAACAATTTAACTCTTGGAGCTTGGAGCTTGGAGTCATTCACCTAAGACTTTTGGTGTAATTGGTTCTGGAATTAACCACAAAACTATCTGATGACAACTATGTTTAGATAAGTCGATAATGGTGAGAAAATGACACATTCTGAGGTTGATGGATGTAGGGAAGCTCTTCTAACATTCCTAGGAGGTATGTCCTAATCAGCAACCACAAACTATGTCCCAGGCAATTAGTATTTACTGAGATTTAGAGCCTCTAGAGTGTCCTGAAGCAATGGATCCATGGTGTTGTGAAGTCGATTACTGAGTTTTCCAGTGAGAAAGCAAGTTGATTTAAGAGTCTCCCTCAAGGGAGAAATGAACCAAGCCTTGTATGCACATATGAATAATAAAAGAAAAATGAAAAAAAAAAGAGTCTCCCTCAAGCATTACATTTAAAAGTCAGTATGTGGCACCAAAAATATAGAAAGGACTAGATTTTTTTTTCTAAATTGAATAACTCAAAGAACATACTCAGTTTTCATGGGGTTATAAAACCAAGAGTCAGATCTTTCTTCTCTTAGTGTTTGCTGGATTTCTCAAATGCTGGCTTAAAACAGGTGCTAATTGTCCATTCTTACCCAACTATAAAGTAAAATACATGCTATAGTAATAAGAACGGGCTTCATAATGGCCTTTTCTTTGAAGTTCAATATCAAATACACTCTTGACTTTTTAATGATAACTCCTCCACAGGTAAAACATTAGCCTACAAAAAGAATTTCACAGTTATTGTTTAGTTCTCTGTTATTAAAGACTATTATTTCACCTGTCATTGCTGCATGGGATCAGGATAATCTGTTGATCACTGTCTTATATAGCATCCATGATCTTGTTTTTGAAACATTGAAATCAAAATATTGTATGATATAACTTAAATTAAAACATATTAGCTTGGTTGTATAGAAAAGCTTAGACTTTTGCTTTTAGAAGCAATAACACAGCTTTTAGGCAGCCCATTATCTATTCCTTATTTTTCTTCAACACTCAGTTTTCCATAATAGATGCAACTCAAAGTTTACACTTTGATAAAAATGCTGCTATAAAGTCAAAAGGATGGCACATACAAAAGTAAGAGAGAAATAAACATGAGTTCTACCAGAGCCTGACAAAAACAAAAGTTGTTTATATTGAAGATAGTCTTAAAGTCTGCAATGAGCAAATACTCTAGATTTTAAATGATCTGAAAGGCATGGCTGAAATGTTATTTCGGGTTGTAGATGTAACAATCTGGCACAGTTTAAAAGGAGGGAAATCACTTTCTCTAACATTAAACATGGATTCAGTTGAAATGAGTTATGTTTATTCCACTCACTAAAAGAAAACTTGGAATTTGTTCCACTTCGAGAAATAGGCACATGCCTCATTTCTCAGTGTGAGATCTCTTTCAGAGACATGTGGGCACTTACTATGTCTAACTGCTGAAACTTGTAACTTACAATGACATAGGATGTTTAGTAAGTAGAATTTCACCTTAGAGCCTTTTACTTCCTCTTCTGACAGGGCACATTGATAATATCAAGCAATTTACCACAGATTTTGAAACAATCTGTTTTTGTAGAAAAACAAAATCACAACCATGTATTATTTCCTAAATTCCTTACCCAGAGAACAGCCAGAGGGAAACTCCCCAAAGGATTTGGCATCGTGGTGTTTTTATCTCACACGGAAATACAGTTCACATGTGAATGCTGTGTGTGGGATTTTTTTTGTTGTTTTTGATAGAATAATTGGATAGATTCAAATATGTCATCACTCATCTCACTCATTTCAGATACTAGCTTTTGTGATATTGTTTTCATCTTAGTCATATTGAATTTGGAAAATTGCATCATACAAACGTATGTTTGTCACGCAAGCAAAATTTCAGGAAAATACTACCTCTCTCTCAGTAGTCCCATCTTCCAACCACGCAGAGAACACACAAAAGGTATCAGAAATATTCAATAAACGTTTGTTGATTGGGGAGGGGGTGGATTTAATGGTCATCTGAAGAACAGACTCGAGTATGTGTAATTCAATGTACTTCAGTAACTTCTTATATCACCTGTTAAATAATCACTCCATAGTGCAATGATTAGAGATTTATTTTACTAATCCTGAAAAACAAGCTTGGAGTTCAATAAATACTTTCTGTAGAAAGAATAGACTTAGGGATTATCAGAGTGATCCTATCACCCATGCTATGCCACATTTTATAGGAAACTACCACTGCTGGCAGATGACATCATCAGGTAGATGCACTACAACAGGTGGCAGCCAGACACTACTGGAGAAAGTCAGGGATTTCAAAGAGATGACACCCAACAGTGCAGTGACTCCACTACATTCAATAGAAAGAACAAAAAAAACCCACCTCTGTTCTTATCAGAGTACTTCCAGTAACCTTCCAGTTCCCACCTATGCTTATAAGTGATGTCGGAAATGAGAGAAACTAATGTTAAATAATAATAATAGCAACAAATGCATAGCTAGTGTTTATTGCTTAGGTCCTATGTGCTTTCCTGGATGTATATATGTATTTATTTTGTTGTAGTAAAATGTGCATACCACACCATTGACCATTTTAACCATATAGTTTAGTAACATTAAGAGCATTCACCTTGCTGCACAACCAGCACCACCAACCATTGCCAGAATTCTTTCATCTTCCCAAAATGAGAGTCTGTACCCATTAAACACTAAATCCTCAGGCCCTCTCTCCCAGTGCCTGTTAACTACCATTCTATGTTCTGTGTCTATGGGTCTGGCCACTCATACGTGTAGAATCATGCAGCTTGTGATCTTTTGTGTGACTTGTTTCATGTAGCATAATGTCTTCAAAGTTTCACCCATGCGATAGCATGCGTCAGGATGCCCTTTCTTTTTAAGGCTGAGTAGTGTTCCAGTGAGTTTATATGCTACATTTTATTAACACATTCATATACCCATGAACATTTGGGTTTCCACTTTGGGTTGTGCTTTTCAGATATTAACTCTTAATCCTCACAGTGATACAGTAGTGTAGGTATCTTTATTATCCCACTTTATGACAAGGAAACAAGCATAAAGAGATTATGTGTATGCCAAGTTTCTACAGCTAGGAAGCTCTGCAGTCAGTGACCCCTCACACTCACCCGAGGCTAAGTAGATCCACGGTGCCTGCTCACAACTACCGTGCTAGTCCTTCACCCCTTTCAAATGATTTAGGAATCTAAATACAGCATGTTCCAGTTTCAACCCCACTTATATAATACTGTAAGACCAGTTTTCTAATGTAATTTGTACAGGTCTTAAAAGTTCCAGGAACTAGTCAATTGAACAACTCCCCCTAATAGCAACTGTTTTATAGAGGATCCCATTATTGCAGAATTAAAACTTAGTGCTTTACTCTAGTACTATCTTGGTAAGTTCACTTAGCTAATCCTCTTATATATGTGTGTATGTGTGTCTATGTGTATTGTGGCATGATTATATCATCTCCATTTTGTAGAAAAGGAAATTAAGTCATCAGGGGGTTGTAAGTTACTTCATTCAAGAACACATAACCAAAATCAGATAGTTTCTAACCCTGGACTTTGCTTTATTAACAAATGTATTTTTCTCATCTCTGTGAAAAATGTGAAGTGCAACAAGGAGACCTGTATACTTAGAGTGGATGCAAATTTTCCTAGGAAGCCTAGAAACAACAAGCACTACATTACTAAAATTATCTCCTACAGTTAGTTATTTCAATTAAGTCTGAAAGCTGAGAACAAAGTTGCTTCATAAAAAATGTTAGTTACATACACTGTAGTTAGATTTGGAAAGCAGGGCCAGTGTGCACAAGTTTCTCAGAACGGACATACCTCTGTAAGTAGCTGCTTTCCACAATGATGTGAAGAATAGATTTGTGAACCCTGGGCAGTTGCAACTTCCATGCAATCAATCTTCCTGTTAGCCAGATTCCTATCTCTACATTTCTCTTCCATGTGGCCTTCGTCCAGTGCTCAGGGTCCTTTAACTTATATACATTATTAAATTGAAAAGACTCCAATGTAGATTTTCATTTCCAGAAAGGCCATTGTGGACATACATAAAGCCACCCACATTTTAAGATGTAGGTTTCAGGGTCTGGTGGGGACATATGCTCACCATACTCTTGTTTCTTACAGAGCTCCAGGACAGCACGCTCAGAGGAGGACCGAGATGGCCTCTGGGATGCCTGGGGTCCATGGAGTGAGTGCTCCCGCACCTGTGGTGGGGGAGCTTCCTACTCCCTGCGACGCTGTCTTAGCAGCAAGTAAGTCTGTCCCCGCTTGGGGGCTTGGTGAGAGCCAGTGGCTGCAAGTGGGGTTAAGCTGAACATTTTGGTGTTCACAAATCTAGATGAAAACAAGGAACAGAAGGAAGTACAAAGAATTGTCTTTCTAATCTCTATCTCTAGCTAGGCATTCAAATACTGTTATGTATTTGAACTTATTTAATGAGCAAATTTGTGTTGATGTTAGATCCAGAAGGAGAATTTATTTGAAATGGTTCTAGAATCATTAGCTCCATGATACATTGCACTTTTTAAAATCCCCTTAGTAGTTATGGTGACAATAATGGCAACACTAGCATTAATAGCGTACTCGGTGTATGTGGTCACTACTAACCCAATGACATGTTGGGTTAGTTCTAACAGCAGAAGCTTCCTAAGGTCATTTGGTTCAACAAATGATTGATTTTTAATATAGAAAGGTTTTGAAGGAGAGAAATTTCCATGGAATTTGTCACATCAACAGTGAGAGGGCTGAAGAGGTCAGAGGTAGAGGTGGCTAATGACTTCTAGGCTGAAAAGAAAAGGTCTGAGGCCTTAGAGTAGAAAGTTTTTACTAAGAGTAATAATAATTCAAAACTGCTTCTTGAGTTGTGTGGTCTATGACTAGATTTGTCTCCAAACTATAAAATATAAAGTACCATGGTAGTATTTTTTAATAAAAGATTTTATTTGACAGTGAAAAGTGTTAAAGGCAGCAAGAAGGAGGTCTGATCAAAATAACTGTACGTTATAAAACATGAAACAGAAGAAGAAAAAATACACATGCTGATTCTCCTAGACTTTTTAAACAAACAGCAGAAAGTAGTGAGAGGCAGGTTGAGGGAAATGTCAACTTACTTCAGTAACAGTGAGAATTCCTTAAAATCAAGGTCTGACTCTCATTCTTTTTCTGTTTCCCTGCAAATGGTCTTCACAGTGTTAGGAGGTTTAAGGAGCCCAATAGATGACTCTTCACTCAATCATTGAGCTCTAGAGGTCATTTTGATTCCAAACAGGTCTCAATGGAAATCCTGAGAACCGTGGCCCAAAGGCATATCTCAAAGGAAGATCAAGTCTAGTATTTGACCATGCTGGTTTTGGGGTCTGCATGAAGATAGGTCTATTGAATTGCCTCTACCAGCAAGTTTGTTTATCCTCTTTAGATGCCAGCTTCATATCAACCAGATCTGGAGTTTATAGACACTAGACCTTTTCAACATACGATTCACCTGTTTTCTTGATTTTAGAATTTGGTTTTTTTTTTGTGGGACCTGGGTTTGAACTCAAGACCTCGCACTTGCAAAGCAGGTGCTCTACCACTTGAGCCACAATCCTAGCCCTGATGTTTTCTTAATTTTAAACATAAACTTACTAAATCTGAAATACATGATGATAATATAACTGATAATAATCATATATCAATAATCCAAAATGTACAACTTTGGATTATAAAACTAGTAAGAAATACATGGGGACTTTCATATTATCTCACTGATGTGAGGGTTACATTGTGTTAAAATCTTTTACTTAGTGAGAAATAAATAAACAATTTAAGGACTAAATCTAAGTCACAAATAGTTTTTTCATCCAGCAAATGATCAAGTATTGTTACTAAGTGAAATTCTAAAATACTAATTTTGCCACCTAATATGTAAAGGATACAATTGTTAGGATTTTAGTAAAATACCACGGGAGATAACAGTTGTTTTCTACTTATAATATATTTCTAATAAAAAGATTTAGAAAAGTGGAATGTAAATTTTTACAAGCATATAGAAGATATGTCTTTCTTTGACTTTTAAATATTGGAAGAATATATTCAGTTAAACTCATAGGTGCCTGGACAAGAAGTTAAAAAAAATGGTGGGCGAGGGAGACTGGCCATCCAGTCTTTAAGAATTTGACGAAGGGACTGGCAGAGTGGTTCATGTGGTTGAGAGCCTGCCTAGCAAGAGTGAGGCACTAAGTTGATGCCCAAGTACCATAAAAAAAAAAAGAAATTTGAAGAAAAAGCCACTAATAAGGTGACATTTCCAAATTTATGAGAAATATTAATATATGTTTTTATTTCTGGGAGGACAGTGCTTAATATAGAGCAATGTATTATGTACATGAAGATATGTTTTACTCTTAAAGAATTCTAGTCATTTTTTAATAAGTTGCAACTTGTTACCATCATTAAATTCTTGCATCTTACTATTTTGGCACCACACTTCACTTGGACTTCTGTTACGAGGTCAGTTTAGGCTGAACTGTGTTGATTCTGATCTTCTTGAGACAAGCAACATGAAGGTTGACTCACTCATTCAGTCAGTCATTTTACTGAGCTTTCTGGGAACGGCAGCCCATGATAGGACTTCATTAACTAAATTGTGCCCTAATGATCCACATATTCCAGCTATAGATTTCAAAAGGAGCAAAACAAACCACATTATCTCTGGAGGTGTATTGATTCTAGAAAATCTACATGTCCAAAACAATATAAAGATCCACAGTGACTAAATAAAAACACTTGTGTTAATATGCCACTGAGTGTTCAGAGATGTTACTTTTAGGATAACTTAGCTCTTATGGAAAGTATACATTTCTTTTTTGAAAGCACTTGATGTTTTAACCACAAAATAGATACTCATTACTTGAATGGTTTCTGCTGGAATTCAAGAACCTTGTATATGCTGTGTTTCAAAAGGAAGCATGTATAGATACTTACAAATACATCCACACTTGTATATTTGTGTGTATGATTCTGTGCTGTGATTGAAAATGTGTATCATTTCAGAAGTGCTTGAAAGCTGATGTTGCAAAGAACTCACTCTGGCAGGAGCCGTCTGGACACTGGTTAGGCCAATCACCCAGCAGGGGCCCCTCCACAATCAAAATTCAGTTTTCTTTACCATTGGATTGTTGTGTTTGGAATAAGAGAGCCCCAAATGTTTGTGTGCTCCTTGGCTTTCTCCTTCTGACACTCCATATCACTTCACAAGTTTTATAAATAGGATTTTAACTCTTGTATTATCTTTCTTTTTTTTTCTCATGTGAAATGAATCTGTGGAATAAGTTCCCTCTGTTATCTAAAGAGAACCAAACATTCATTTGGATGAATTCTGTTATTCTCCCTATATAATTTGAGTAAATCTACCCAGGATCTTAGAAAGAAGTGTAATAATCTTCAGCATCCTTTAAGTTTTCCAACTTCTAAGAAGCTATTTGTTTTCTTGGTATTTTTCTTGCAATAAGGATGTTCTTTCACTATTAACAGCAATTCCTGGAGTTAAACCTCATGTTCCAAAATGCTTTCAGCAGAGACCTAGCACCCAACTTTTCAGTTATATTCTTCTATAAAAATTAATTATCATTAAATAGATAATACTAATCAGTAAGAAATAATAAGCATATTATTAAGTAAAATATAATATTAACAAAATATCCTTAACTCATTAAATCATTACTTATTCCTAGGGTGGATTTGGAAGATATTTGACTCATATAACAGAAACATTTATGTTCTGAGGTATCTGTTCAGCTTCAAGACTAAAACAATTTGATATTAAAGGTTTTCAAGTTTTTTCTCAACAACCAATATCATTTATTTTAGTACCCACCAAAATCTTTTTTATTCTTTTTTTAATTATTGCTATACTGGGGATACATTGTGGCATTTACAAAAGTTCTTACAGTGTATCATGGTTTAGTCTCCTTGGATCATTGGCTGTAATGGAAATACTCATTGGTGTGTCATTTATCCAATACCACAATGATATGGCATATAAATCACCAAACCTCAGTGAAATATCAGATAAGGAGAGGTGACTCTTAGGACCTGGATCATATACGGAGGGTGGCTGATCTAGGCTGCCTTCATTTGGTTTAATTTGCAGCAACTCAGTTCTGAGATGGGGGTGGGGAGCAACGAAGGAGGGAAGAAGGAAGAAGAGGAGGAGGAAAGAAAGAAGAGAGATTCCTAATGCTCATCCCAAGTCTTTGTCTGCTGACATCCCATTATCCAAACTAAGCCACTTGCCAACCCCAAGGGTCAGAGTGGGAGAGCAGAAGTGTTACATGAAAAAGCAGGAGAGAAAGGGAAGGTAAAAAATTGAGACCATTGTTGCAATCTATCATAAATGGTCTTCTATGACTTCCTTACTCATTTTTAATGGGTCCATGAAATATACAGGTTCTCACTCATCTCTCCATTCCAGATTTAGGCATGTGAATTCAATTGAGTTGCCTGACACTAAAGAGAAAGGTCAGAAGTTATGAATGTATATATCCCTTGAGAGTGTGTAGTAGTCCTATGGTAAGCACTTAAATTCAGTTCAAATAAATCCCATCCACCTGTTGAATTAACTTTCCAGGCCAGTTTTCTAGCCCCTGGTCATATGATCTCTTAGGTCACGTTCAGGTCTGATTTTTTAAAAAATCTGTCAGCTAATAATTAGTTTATTCTCAATATGATAGAATTGTAAAGGGAACTACATTGCCCAAATTTAATGGACTAGATAACAACATCTTAACTTCTGGAGTTAATTGTGCTCTCTGATAGATTGGGAGATTATGAGGATCTTGTTTAGCCTTCTCAGTAGAGAATGTCCTCTCTTAGTGATCTTTTGAAGATTATAGGGGAAAAAGTGAGTGGAGGCAAAGCAGAGTGAAAATAGAACCTTCATTCCCAACTGGCAGTGCTTAATGGTTGGGGGAAAAACCCTGACTCAGGAAGGTAATGAGCAGAACCCTTCCCCTGGCTTCTCCCCAGTCTTTTTTCTGAGGCTTGCAGACAGTAAACAGGGCTCAATTCTCCCAATTTCTATACTGGAGCATTGGTAGTTGCCTTTACTGCAATCCTGGTTTGAGCAATAAAAGAACACTGCATAAACATCTCCTACCACTATGGATGAGGGAGAATGATGGAGGTGGTGAATCTAATTAAGGTACATTGTATGCACATATGCAACTGTCACAATAAATATATATACCATACACAACAAATATATGCTAGTATA